TAAAGAAGCTGGCAAAGTCGCCAAACGTAGTCGGCTCTCCTGCAGCTCTTTCGTAGTGAAAGCAAAAGAGCAACAGGGCAGATAAAACAATAAAGCAAAGCCTCATCTTTCATTAATATGAGAGGAATTGCTCAAATCTTCTTCGTTTTAAAGATATGATAGCCCAAACTTTCATACCTTGTGAGTTTAGACGAGGCTCTCTTCTCCCGAGGTAGCGGCCAGAGTCTTTTAACATTAGGAACTAGATAGCAGTTTGTATGCAACAAATAGAGCCTAACAAATGTATGCTAAACTGTTTAAAAGTCGAGAAAAACTAAAGCTTTCTTCACCACTTAGGGCCATGTGCCACCATTTACTGTGTATGGAGGTGGAGCATGGCTTGATTGAGCCACACCTTCATTGCAGCCACACCTTTAGATTGCTGCAGCTAGCTAGCAGCAGTGCAGTAAATATGCTGGAGCTTTTTGTCTAAAAAAAAAAACAAAAAATTCTCTGTCTGTCTCAAAACATTCACTAAGTTTTAATAAATCTAGTACATGCTGAAGCTTCTTCTTTGTCTCAAAACTTTCACCAATTATTTTCTCTTAATTTATTGAAACTGTTACATACAAATTGTGTCGAGGGTACGCACTTTAGTGCTCTCGTTCTGTCATTCTGTCCACACACTTTAATTGATTTGTAAAAAAATTATCTTTTTGTCTAAGCAGTCTGGAGCTCTATTTCTTCTTCTAGCAACAGATAAAGTTGCTTTCTTTCATCTAGTTATGCTCTTGTAGCATCCCGTGGTACCAAAAGCTGTGAACTGCTAAACCAGGGGACCTCTCTCCAGGTGAGAGCTCGTGTTTCACTCTACAGGGCCGAGATTTGCTTCAGAGGTAGAAAATCCAATCTAACGAAAAAGAAAAAGAACGATTTTGTCCTAACTTCGTTGTTTGTGAGTTACAGTTGCTCAAAGTTTGTGATTTAGCCTCTTTGAGAATTTTTCAGGCGGCACTGGGGAAAGCAGGAGCAACCAAACTCTCTCAGTCTCTTTTAAATATCTAGAAAATTTTTCTGTGCCAACTCTTTCTTGGAATAGAGCTTCAGATGCTAAAATAAATTTCAGCTTTTCTTCTTTCTCCTACCCATGTGCCATGATTTAGTTAGTTGTTGACCACACCCATAGCTTATTTTAATTATCATTATAACTATGCAGTCAATACAGTCGGGCAGCCAAGCAACCGGAAGTCCATATAAATTGTGTATAAACCTATTTCTCGTTCATTGAGCAACTGCGTGGGTGGTAGCGTACATAGATACATGAAAACTTGGACAGAATCAGAGAACTATCACAGCAATGGACTTGCCACAATGAGAGATAAAGTGCTTGATCAATAGAGCACATCATTTATGAAAACAGCAAAGATACGCTGTTTTATGGGGAACTTACAGCTAATTTTGAACACAATAATTCTATTCCTTAGAAAAATTTTCCCTCACAAGGAATACTTGTAAGACAACAATTACCTTGTAAAGATACCTTTTAAGTACCACATACCAAAATTTCATGATTGCACTCCAAAGAATACTGAAGTTACAATTTTTTTATTCTTAAGTATAATTAAATTAATTAAAATTTATTATAAAAATTGTAATAAATCATGATATCTTTATCCAGGAAGAAAATAATTGGGATCAAAGTCTATATCCTCACAATAACCTTCGTCTATAATGCCAAAATAGGCAACCAGATACTTAACACAGTTCATGTGAGTACAAATATGAACGAAAATTGCGGCTCTCATGAAATCTCAAGATATCTTCCAAATACAGATATAAAGAAAGTTGAAAACCACTGCAATAGCTACAATTTACATATATATCAAGAATTACAAGCTATACTCATGGATACAACAATGCTAAACACACACAAACACATAGCTAGGCTACTTGCTGGGACCTTTAATACCTTAGAAAAATTTTCCCTTTTCTCCTAGAGCAATGAAACTTTTGCAGAATAACAGGCATATATAATACTAATAAGCTACCTTGTAAGTGTGATTGCATTCACTCTGTTTTACAAGTTATAGAATTTAGTATGATTTTTGTGCCAGCCATTTTAAATCCTTACAGTGGAAACAAGCACCTGAAACACGAACAGTTCTTGATTATAAATGTAGAAGATCAGTTAGCTACATCTTTATCCAATGCTAAAGGTGCAGAGAACAGCAAAGTAACTGTAGACTTCTTAGTTTTGACATAAACAATCAAAATAGGCAAGTGGCACTACCACACTAAAAGTCAGTCATTTTGAGAAAAACGTCACTTCCGGTCAGAAATACGAAATCAGGCTTGGCTGCCCGACTGAATAATAATATTTTTTTCAAATTGCTTAAAATATCACAGTACAAGTAATACATATCACTCAGGTGAATCTCAGCAGGCGAGTCCACGCACCATGGTGCTTCATTATTTTGTGTACACTCCACAAGAACTCAGTTCCTCATAGCTAGTCCAATTACAAAAACAATGTTTACTATACTAAGTGCATTTATTACTACTCCTATACATGACATAATGTTTAGGGAGTACTTGCAATTAGATTATTACATGACCACTGTGTAGCAAGAAAATTTTGTGGCCTAAAAATTTCCCAAATTCATCCAAAAATCTAATTCGTAGATGTAATATTCACAATTTCCCTGCCTTTTGGCAGTATTAAATTGTGTTTTGCAGATTTTATTTTGTGAATTTTGAATTAATCACAAAGTTCAAAAAATTTTGGGCCACAAAAGATTGTCTCTATACAGTATACTTGTAAATTGAGTTACAATGGCTGATCCCGGTTTTCCTTGATTTTTATCAAAATCATATGATCCCTATTGTTTATCATTGAGAATTAAAATAATGTGATTAGTCATCTTACAGCTAATCCAGTATATGGGCTAACAACATTGAATAAATTGTATTGAAGTGTTTCCACTAGATTGAGTCTCTCTTCATTTGAAATCTTCCATGATTGATTAAGAAGGTTATGTAGTTCCTCTGTGGTATAATTATTAATGGTCACATTCCATGTTAGAGCAAGTATTCTAGCAGCATCATAAGCACTGAATACTTTTGAATGTAAGAGAGAATAAAACTCAGTCTCTGTTAGTGATCTGTTGTTGCTTAAAATTCTCAATATAATGTTTCTTTCTTTCTATATGAAAGTAAAAACAATCATTGCTTTGATTAAACAACCATACACATAATTTACATAGTTTATAACTGTCAGTATAGATGATTGCGTGTCAACAAACAGAGCTGATTCTATAGCTTTCTTCATTTCATTGTTGTACAATCAGTTCCATTTACAACTCCTACTCTCCACCAATTAGGATTAGTCATACCACGTAATATCCATACATGCTTAGCAGTAGTAAGACCAGCATGATAAGCCTGATGATTAATTGAATATATGGAAGAGTGAGAATATATATGTCTACCTGGCAAAGTAAATTTCTGGCTGCCCTTGTGTCCATGATAGCAAGAAATATTCTAAAATCATGCTCCTATTACGTATAAATGAACATTCTGATGATGGAATGGGCCAAACCACAACATGATGTGTAATTTACTTTCAAGGAAATAGGATTGGTAAAGCAAATATTGACAGTGAATTTTATTGAAAGAATTAGTTTTATGGGTAATGCATGCATATCAGGATTATATACTCTTGCATATAAATCAGTATCTTTAATTATTACCTTTGAAGAGTTAAGAATACTTTCAGCAGAGTTTATAAAGGAATGAAAAAGATGAACTTGCTTTTTGTCATGCTTAAGTTTTTTAAACATATATTGTGAGGCCTGTTGTATGAAATATGTAAAATGGAAATAAGAGAGTGAGTCTTACCAATACACTTTCTTCATCAAATGTTGATATAATGGCCACTTTCTTCCAATCAAAGTTATCCAGTAGCTTACTTATAACAACATTAAAATACTCATCATTTGGAATTGTAGTGTGAAAATAAGGATATTCTTTATTGTTGTCAAGTAGTACACTAGTCACTGAATAAGAAATCTAAAGTGTAAAAGTATACAATTATATTATTTTTGATAACTGTTCAATACCTGTATTGTACTCAAATAATGTCCAAAAATATAAGCAAACATTTTAGCACTTTCAGGATTGTATGGTCCAATAACACCATAAATAGGTAGATTGTTGTGCTTCTCATATAAAAACTCAATTGACTCAGTTGGATTCTATAATTGAGGAACATATGAATGGAGTACTGATGATAATGGTACTAAATCAATGTTGATTATATATAGTGACAAAGTTTTACCTGCACTGGATCCTCAACAGTAATGGGGAGCATTTCTATTTCAAAGCATCTCAATATGTTGGTGTCTTGGTTGATTTCTGCTATAGCTCTTTCCACTGCAGTGAGGGTTAGCCTATCACAGTCTCCTACCTCATCCCATTGGTTGAGACAGGGAAAGAATCCAACGAAATGAAGAGGATATCTTGTGTTTATGCTACAGTTAAGGTAGGAGCTCTGGGTCCTTTCCACATTCAAAAAGAGAAGGAGAAGCAGTTGCCTAAACATTGTTGCAGACACAATAACATGTACCCACGTGCTAACACGTGTGCAAGTATGCAGCTCCTCAGATTAAATTAAAATTTTATTGTTAAAAAGATATTTTTGATCAAATATGAGCAACAACACAGGAAAAATAGTAAAATTATTTAGCTTCAAAGGGATTAAAAGTTCCACTGCTATCATTCATCTGTAATCATAATCATAAATAAATTATCGTGCAATCCATAATTACTAACCTTTTTCAGTTGTCCTGTCAGCTCAAAAATTTCATCATGTAAGTCACTAAACTTCTTTCTTAAAGTTGATTTTCTTTTCACTGATTTTACCTTTTTGTCTCTACATAGCAGGATGGCCTATGAAGAGTCTGCAGATTACAAGTGTTATGAACATTATCATACCTTAGATCCATACAAGACAGCCAAAAAGAAAGAATTATAAGCCAATATGAATGTAACAGTACAAAACATCTGGTATTGACTCATTACAAACTCAATGTCGCCAGCATCAGACCATTGCAATGCAACAGCAACTCCAACATAAAGAGGATATAGCAATAGAGTCATAGCTCCTGCAAGAATGGCCAGTTCCCCCTCTTTATTAAAATGCCCTTTTATACGACAATTGAAAGATCCCAGGATTATGATTATGATTAAAAGAAAAACCATGTATGAAAAAATCAAAACATCCCATCCAAATTGTAGCAGCTCAATGCAATGATCTTCTATGAGTGATGTTTCTGTGTTATTAGGCTATACAAGAGAGTAGTTGTATATAAAACAAATAACTCACATAGCCAGGACAGTGGGTTTTAAAAGAAGCTTGACGCACTTCTAAAGGTCGTATTAGTTGAATTAATATCAGCAATACAATGAAAGGAGCAGAAATGAGACCTATTCCAACAACTAACTTGGTGTTTGATAGATTATTCTATAAAAAAATAAATATGTATTTTCCAAGGAATTTCATACTCTATTTTTTTGTAATGGGTTGTGAAATATTCTGAAAATTCTCCAGTTTTTCACTAATATGGTAGAGTTGATCAGTAACTGTGAGAGCCAGAATGATGACATTGTAATCTATAATCAGTGCATTCATTAATCCTGATAATTATAATACTTACATTGCATATTGTTTTTAGTTTTCCATTACCAGTCATTCCTATGTAATTATTAACAAGAAACAAGTAACCATTAGCATATCCCATTGTACAGCCAAATGTAATGATAGCATTTAGAATAGGTGATGACCCTTTAAAATATCTATTGAAATAGTAATTCATCAATTTGTGTAACAGCATACATTTATGAAGGTACTTCTTACTTGTTATTTCTCAATCGATAATTATAAATCTGTAGGAGCATACTGATTACAACTCCAATGCTTAAGAGCACTGTTATAGAAATGTAAGATGTCATTATGCTGCTATCAAAAGGTTGCCTGCAAGTGCATGAGCCATTAGGACACAATCCATCCATTGGTTGATTACCTCCTACATAACGGTGCATGTACATACATGGATATACAGTCACATTTGTATTAGCATCAGTGGCGTAGCCAGAGTTTTTGGAAAGAGGGGCAAGCTGTGCGGCGCGCAAAGCGCGCCACAAAATTTTGCGGAACCACACCCTTTTGAGGCGTGGCCACATCTATTTTTCAACATGGCGGACTTCTTGACCGATCATAGGCAACGTTGAATACCTTTTCAGCCTTATAATGGCATCATAGAAAGACTGCTTTGGCCTTTTCCTTTCATATGTAAGTTGTAGAACAGCTTTTCCTTCCAAAAGCAGCTTATTATTTGATTATTTTTAAATTTTGAGTTTTAAAAAAGGGGGGGCAATTGCCCCCCTTGCCCCCCCCCTGGCTACGCCCCTGAGCATGTCATACCTTTCCATGTCACATTACAGCAAAACTCAGTGTCACATTCCTGCAAGTTAGTGCTGTTAGTTGAGTCATAATAGCCTATGATGCACTCTTTTCCACCTAAAGGAAATATCGTAAATCAGAAAATTTATGGTGGTAGAGAATATTTGTTTTCTAATTGTGCGATGTTTTAACTTTTACTAAATAAGATTGTCATGTATCATTGAATGTAGCATGTAATTATATGAATGGTATAATTTCGCAAAATTTTGATCCAGTAAAATCAAAATAAGGCCACTGCAATAAGATTCATAGTTTCCCACTACAGAGGCAGGCCTGATGGGGATGAGCGGGTTTGTTCATTTTCATTAAATTTATTCATTATCAGCTGTATAAACTGCTTGTATAATCAAAATAATCAATGTAAAACTACAATGATAAATAGTGATGCGGCTGCTGTGGCACCATGCAGGCAGCCGGGTAATGGGAACAAGGAATCAAATTGGAATGGCCTAACAGTACAAATTTCCAGTGTGTAGTTGTGTGCACTACAACTAATTTGTGCACACACAAACTGTAAGTTAAAATACTACATTTCCTCATAGCTAGTCCAATTACAAAAACAACGTTTACTATTATACTAAGTACACACATGACATACATCAAGAGAGTGAATAGCAATTAGATTGTAACATAACTATTGTGTAGCAAAAAAATTTCCCAGCCAAAAAATTAGTTTCATGATTTTCTACCTTTTGGCCATGTTTAACCAAATTAAATTAAATTTTGCAGATTTTATTTTGATTTTATAATTGTAAAATTTCTAAAAATATTGGGCCATGAAAGATTCTATCTATACGGTATACCTGTAAATTGAGTTACAATGGCTGATTCCACTTTTCCTCGATTTTTATCGAAATGATATGATCCCTATTGTTTATAAATGAGAATTAGAGTAATGCAATTAATCATCTTACAGCCAATCCAGTATATGGGCTGACAACATTGAATAAATTGTATTGAAGTGTTTCCACTAGACTGAGTCTCTCTTCATTTGAAATCTTCCAGGATTGATTTAGAAGATTATGTAATTCCTCTGTGGTATAATTATTAATGGTCACGTTCCACGTTAGAGCAAGTATTCTAGCAGCATCATAAGCATTGAATACTTTTGAATGTAAGAGAGAATAAAACTCAGCCTCTGTTAGTGACCCATTGCTGTTTAAAATTCCCAATATAATGCTTCTTTCTTCCTATATTAAATTAAAAACAATCATTGCTTTGACTAAACATTCGTATGCATAATTTACATAGTTCATCTTTGGCAGAGTAGACGATTGCATGTCAACAAACAGAGCTGATTCAAGGGCTTCCTTCATTTCATTGTTAGTACAATCAGTTCCATTTACATCTCCTACTCTCCACCAATTAGGATTAGTCATGCCACGCAATATCCATGCATATTTATCAGTAGTAAGACCAGCATGATAAGCCTGATGATTACTGAATTGAATATTAGAGTGAGAATTATGTCTACCTGGCAAAGTAAATTTCTGGCTGTCCTTGGGTCCATGATGGCAAGAAATATTGTAAAATCATCCTCCTATTATGTATAAATGAATATTAGTTACATAGTTCTGATGACTGAATGGGCCAAACCACAACAACTAGATGTTTATTCAATCTCAAGGAATGACGATTGGTACACAGCTAAGAATCATTATCATGCTGATACAGTAGTGCTGCCCAAAATTAATGATTCAGGCCTGATTACTTAACTGATATAGCCCTGATGGGCTATCAGGGCTATATCAGTTAGTAATCAGGCATGATTCATTGACTTTGGGCAGTACTACTGTATCAGCATGATAATTCTTGGCTGTGTAGATCAAATATTGACGATGCATATTATTCAAGAAATTAGTTTTATGGGTATTGCTTGCATATCAGTTTTAAATTTGCATATAATTCATTACCTTTGCTGGGCTACATTACCTTTGTTAAGTTAAAAATACTTTCAGCAGAGTTTATAAAAGAGTCAAAATAATGAACACGTTTCTTGTCAAGCTTAAGTCTTTTAAATATTGATTGTGAGGCCTATGGTATCAAATATTTAAAATGAAAAAGTAAGAGATGGTGAGTCTTACCAATACACTTTCTTCATCAAATGTTGATATAATGGCCACTTTCTGCCAATTAAAGCGGTCCAGCAGCTTACCTGTAACAACACTGTAGTACTCATCATTTGGAATCGTAGTGTGAAAATAAGGATATCTTTCATTAGCATCAAGTACACTAGTCACTGAATAAGAAATCTAAAGTTTAAAGTATACAATTAGGTTTTTTGATAGCTGTTCAATACCTGTAATGTACTCAGATAATGTCCAAAAATATAAGCAAACATCTTAGCACTTTCAGGATGATAAGGTCCAATAACACCATGAATAGGCAGATTGTTGTGCTTCTTATACAGAAATTCAATTAATTCAGTTGGATTCTAAAATGAAGTAACATGCATCAACATTTAATGGAGTATAATTATCATTGCTAAATCAACAATGATTATAGTGACATAGTTTTACCTGCGCTGGATTCTTCACAGTAATGGGGAGCATTTCTATTTTAAAGCATCTCAATATGTTGGTGTCTTGATTGATTTCTGCTATAGCTCTTTCCACTGCAGTGAGGGTTAGCCTATCACAGTCTCCTACTTCATCCCATTGGTTGAGACAGGGAAAGAATCCAACGAAACGAAGAGGATATCCCGTGGCTATGCTACAGTTAAGGTAGGAGCTCTGAGTCCTTGCCACATTAAAGAAGAGAAGAAGAAGAAGCAGTTGTTGCCTAAACATGGCTGGCTACGCGAGACTACGTGTAGACTGATGCAGACATTGGGGCATATAAACCTCTCGAGCTGATTAAGTCATAGATATATACAATATACAACAGGGAAGAGCATCAATCATTAATATCCGAGTGTTCCAGTCCCTGTGTTTAGTATCTTTAAGTGTATGAATATTATTTTTCGAGATACGGTATCCACCTACGCGCAATAATTAGCTGCCATTTTGGACAGCAAAAGTAGGGCTAGGCAAATTATGCTAGCATAATTTGGAGCATACAATAGCATAATAGGGCAAGTTATTATGCTGGCATTATTGGAGCATAATGGGTCAAAATTTCTAGCCCTACACCCCGACCACATGATTTTAATTCAATATGGCAGGTGGTACAAGTACTAGTACAACAACGCGACTGTTAAGTACCCACTTATGCAAGTGTGGTGAGTCCAATGACTCAAAATCACTGGAAACATTTTCATATTCTGGCATTATTACAATTTTAACAAATGCATGTACATGCAACTTGATAGTCGATATTTGATCAAAGCTTTAACTATAAGCATAATTGGATTCATTCCAAAGCATAATAGGATGGAATTTGGAGCAGTGCCCAAAAGCATAATAGGCAAAAATTGAAGCATAATTTGCCAAGCCTTAACGGCAAGATTCAATGAAGAAGGACTGGAGTAAACTATAGAAGAGCTTGTTTCACTGGTCTGGAACTCTTTCAAGCTACAAAAGTTGGCCACGGTTGGAACAAGGAATGGGTGCTACCAAGCATCTCATAAAACAGATTTGGTGCAATGTGCAGCAGATTCTTTACTATAGCTTGCTTTCTGCTTTTGCTCATTGGTTCACCATAGAAAGTTGCCGTCCATGGAGTTTATTTCCTTAGCTAGCTCGAGAGGTCTATAGCCATATCATGTGATTAGGCTGTAGCATAAGATGTACCCACGTGCTAACACATGTTCAAGTTTGCAGCTTAAATCTATTATTTAAAAAGATTTGTTTGATCTATTATTATCACATATATGAGCAACAAAACAGGAAAATATAGTAAACATTATTAAGCTTCAAAAGGGATTAAATTAATTGAAGAATTCAACTGTTAGCATTCATCTGCAATCATAATCATAAATAAATTATCCTGAATCCGTTTAATTACTAACCTTTTGCAGTTGGTTGCAAAAGGTTGCCTGCAAGTGCTGCATGAGCCATTAGCACACAATCCATCCATTGGTTGATGATTACCTACATAACGGTATACATGTATACAGTCACATTTGTATTAGCATGTCATACCTTTCCATGTCACATTACAGCAAACTCAGTGTCACATTCCTGCAAGTTAGTGCTGTTAGTTGAGTCATAATAGCCTATGATGCACTCTTTTCCACCTAAAGGAAATACCGTAAATCAGGAAATTTACATGGTAGACAATTTTTGTGTTTTCTATTTGTGCGGTGATTTAATTTTTACTAAATAGAACTGTATCATGCATCATTGAATGTAGTATGTAATGATATGCATGATTTAATTTTGCGAAATTCTGATCCAGTAAAATCAAAATGACAGTAAAAATTTCCAGTATAATGTCGTTGTGTGTACTATAACATCTTTTGAACACACAAACAGTAAGTTAAAATACTACAATTTCCTCATAGCTAGTCTAATTACAAAAACAATGTTTACTATACTAAGTATATACATGACATACGCCTAGGGAGTGAATAGCAATTAGATTGTAACATGACTATCGTGTAGTAAAAAAATTTTCCCAGCCCAAAAATTCTGCCTTAAAAATCTTATTCTGTGGTTTTAATTTTCTAGATTTTCTACCTTTTAGCCATGTTTAACTGTATTAAATTAAATTTTTGCTGATTTTGCATTTTGAACAAATCACAAAATAAAAAAATTTTTGGGCCACTAAAGAGTCTATCTATAGGCCCCCCAGGAGCTAAGACTATTTTCAATGAATATGATTACAATAACAAGACACTGATGGTGCATTGGCCTCACCAAAGCAAAGAAAAACAATATTAATTTAGTTTTACATGTATGATTTCAAAACTATATTTTGTCCTACATATTATCACTGTATTAAAACTTACTTATAGTTTTGATTGCATTCTTTACAGTCTAATTAAATGTGAGGGTGTTTGGGTGTGGCTGCAAACTGACAGCATGGCAGTTGTTAGAGTACAGAGAAAGTGCTAAATCTTGATTGCTAGAGAAAAATGGTGTAACCATAGATATCTATGGTCATATGGTGTAACTGCCATATCACGTGATTAGGCGATGTGCCCACGTGCTAACACGTGTTCAAGGGCAGGGCGAGACTAGTTGCAGCTACCGTATAGCCACAAAGTTTCGAGGCAATAAACTTTCGCGAATCAGGCCACAAGTCTTTTTTCGCGAATTAACTTTCGTGGTTCTTATTTTAAAGCACACGTGTTTATGGGCAATACGGATAATTTTATGGGATTAACTTTCGCAAATACGGAAAATCTGCGAAAATAGCGAAAGTTGTACCCTCGAAATTAAGCGGCTATACGGTAACTCCTCAGATTAAATTTATTATTTTAAAAAGTTTGTTTGATCAATTATTATGACATGAGCAACAAAACAGGAAAAAAATAGTAAAAATTATTAAGTTTCAAAAGTGAAAGTTGGGATTAAATTACTTGAAATTTAACTGTTTCATGGGGCTATAGTATTCATCTGCAATGATATCATGAATAAACTATCCTAAATTTTATATAGTAACTAACCTTTTGGAGTTGTTGTTTCAGCTTAAAAATTTCATCATGTAAGTCACTAAGCTTCTTTCTTAGAGTTGATCTTCTTTTCGCTGGCTTTACCTTTTTGTCTCTACATAGCAGGATGGCCTATGAAGAGTCTGCATATTAAAAGTGTTATAAGTTGTATCATACCTTAGATCCATACAAGACAGCCAAAAAGAAAGAATTATAAGCCAATATGAATCCAAAAGTACAAGACATCTGGTATTTACTCATTACAAAATCAATGTCGCTAGCATCAGACCCAGACCACTGCAATGCAGCAGCAATTCCAACATAAAGAAGATATAGCAATAGAGTCATAGGTCCTGCAAGAATGGCCAGCTCCCCCTCTTTATTAAAATGCCCTTTTATACGACAATTGAAAGATCCCAGGATTGCGATTATGATTAAAAGAAAAATCATGTATGAAAAAATCAAAATATCCCATCCAAATTTTAGCGGCTCAATGCAATGATCTTCTATGAGTAATGTTTCTGTGTTATTAGGCTATACAAGAGAGTAGTTGTATATAAAATAAATAACTCACATAGCCAGGACAATGGTGGTTCTTAAAATAAGCTTGATACACTTCTAAAGGTTGTATTAGTTGAATTAATATCAGCAATACAATGAAAGGAGCAGAAATGAGACCTATTCCAACAACTAACTTGGTGTTTGATAGATTATTCTATAGAAAAATAAATATGTATTTTCCAGGAATTGCGTACTCTATC